CGTTACTAAATACTTCCTACGATGAATCGTTCTCAGGTGCCTCTCTCCGTTATATACTCTTTGATTTATTCACATACAATCGATAGAGTATATCGACATGGTAAAGCACCTAAAAGAATTTTGGCCGTTGGCTCTTGAGTGCCAATCCAGTATTTATTGTCGGCATTGTTGTGTATGTATTTAAATTTCCAAATCTTGATTATTGTCCAATTTATGATTGGTTAAAAATGGTCATTTATAGTTTGTTATCACTGAAGTCGTTTAGAAACTATGTTCATCAATACCATGAAAAAATTACGTTTAATGAAACCATGTTAAATGAAATAATATCAATAACAAAATTGATCAACAAACAAGATTTAAGAAGATCAATCAAAATCATGCTGAACAATGATGTATTCAGAAACCTACTATCGTCAATACCAGTAACGTATAAGCACAATGTAATGACAAATACTTTATTGAACTCAATCATTTCTACTGTTATCGTCCCTATTATAACAAGAACAATTGGTTCTGATATTGTTTGTGAAGTGACAGTTGCCTGTGTCAAATGTGATGCACAGTCAAAACGTCTAAAAATTTATTCAGTCATTATTCTACAAAATGTTAATATGTTATTCGATCTTGGACAACAAATTCAACTATTCTTTGAATCAAATCTATCGGAAATAACGTGTGAAAAATGTAATTTAAATATGGTCAAAGAAATTCGTGTATTAAGATGGCCAACAGTACTATTGATCCATCTACATAAGAAGAAAGACGCAGCATCTACGAGAAAACCACTTACATTAATTCATTTAGAACAATATAATCATCGCTCAAATGTGTGTATGTCAACAACATCATCATATTGTATGTGTACATTCACTTCGTTGACCTCAAATGGTAAAACAATCACATTCGCAAGATCAAAGAAACAATGGAAATCATCATCAGATACAACGAAATCGTATGGTGAAGGTGATCAAATTGTATCCCGTTATTGTCAAACTGTGTTTTTAATTTTACAACAAATAAGAAGTCCGACAGTCAGTTTTTTCAATGCATTAAGTAAGATTTGTGAAGTAAATATGCTTTCTGTAACTTGTGCGTGTGTTTGTACTTTCCCTGTACTCATCGCAGGAAAATTAATGAGTGAAAATCTGTTGATTTTTTCTTGGGCATACGGTAACCTATCGAAACTTGACTGCTTTATACCATGTCATTGATTGATCTGCGCACTGTAGGTAACTATCCTAATGTAGTGCTTCTTAGTTCTAAATGATCTGCTTCTCTTTTTCTGTTTCAGGTAGAAATAGATTTTCGTGACGGTTCCTGTGAAAGTTTATCTGATGCAATTTATTCTATTGAACAAGATCCTCACTGTCGAAACTTATTGCGAGTTTTAAGGATGAATTCAATATCATTTTTTGAATGCCCTCGATGTGGTGATAAAGTAAAATCGGACTTATACTCGTTAAACAATGGTATTCATCTATTCGAACAAACAGCAGATGAAACATTTTCTGCCAAACCAGTATTAAAAAACCTAGCATTAAACAACAATGTTTGTGCCATATGTAGCTTTAATATCAAAGATGATTCGGTACTCAACGTGTCATACCAACAATTTCAAACATTACCATCGTATTTATTATTCATGTTTTCAACAATAACGGAAGAATTGTTAGCATCTGTCGTCAAAATTGATGAAACAAAATTCTATTTGTTGGCATTATTAATAACAGGTCGATATAAAGATAGTTTAACAATTATTCGTCTTACCCCAGAGAACTTTCAGCTCTTTGTCAAAAAAACATATCATACAGGTAAGATACCCTAATATGATATATTCACATTTTTGACGTTTTGCACGTAATGTTTTCTCCTTTCAATAACTTCCAATAGTCTTAATATTCTTAATATCAATAACATTTCAGTAATCTAGGTCGAAAATGTACAACAATCGAAATATTAGATTATTGTGAAACAACATCGTGTGTCGTTGGAATATTTCAACAAATATCGCAAAACGAAACTTAAACTGCAGCAGTTTGTTCTTTATAGATTGTATTTTTTGTAAAGAAAAAATTATGATTTTTTTCAAATAAAAGCTGAAGTCACCCAGAATCAAGTTTGGCAGTAAGCTACTGCTATTAATTTCTTTATCTTGAGAAAATTCTACGAGAGTATAGCGAATAGTTTTTCCCTCGTTTACAACTTGTGCATAAACTGAGAAAAAACTTTGTTTATCTTCTACAATCTTGTCATAAACTAGCAATTCGGAGTGAACAGATAAGAGTGGCAAAAAAATTTCCTTTTTTGGACTGATAAATAAATTCTTTTGCCTAGTAAAACGTGCTACAAAACTTTCCATCATGCTGTGGCGCAATCTGCCCATCTTTACAGGTTGTTCTAGGTTACTTGAGCAAGAATAGTCTATATTTTATTCCGAACAAATTCCAAAATTAGAAACTAATTTATTTAAATATTTTCCGTATGATTTTTATTCGGAGGCTCAAGTTTAACCAAAAGTCGGATATACAGTGATTTATGGCTAGCAATTCTTATGGATAACGGCCATGACCAAAACACGTACACTCGTACAGTGGACTCGTACAATCCGTACACTTTTTATTGGTCAAGTATACCAATCATATTAAATTCGAATCTTATTTGGGCTTCGAATCCAATGAGATTCAAATTTAATATGATTGGTATACTTGACCAATAAAAAGTGTACGGATTGTACGAGTCCACTGTACGAGTGTACGTGTTTTGGTCATGGCCTGGATAACTTGGTTTGACCGCAAGCGCTCTAGTATAAATTTAGGCATGTCGGCCATCTTGAATTTCCATTGGTTGGCATACGAAACGAATAAAATAAATGTATGTCGACACGAGCCCTCTATAAATAAATTAGCAGGGTCGGAGCTGAGCATTTCAGTATAGTAAGAGAAAAATATTCTGAATCGAACTGTCGATTCAGATTTTCTACACCGGCTCGCAGGCTGAGGTCCTATATCCAATATGAATTGAAGAAGACAAAGCCGTTGTTGGTACAGGGAGAAACCGTCGCATAGCAATGATTGAATTAAACGGTAAGCGTATTTTAAATGTTCCCAAAATTAACTATTTAAAGCCCGATGTGCATTCAAATGGGCATTGGCATTACCATAATAACAACCTCAGGAAGCATTCTTTAAAAAACATAATCGTGTACCGTTTTTAGAGAATTAAATGGGCTATCGAATGCTAAAAAAATATTTTATTGATTTTATACTAGACGAAATATTTGAACTTTAAAATGAAGAATATTTTAGAAAAAATTTAAGTTTCTAATTTAAGTTCTACAGTTAAAATCAGCAATTGGAAAACATTATCAGACTACTGGACACATAATGAAAGATACAGACTTCCGCATACTACTAAGAGAACAACACATATACCGATTACTGGTAAAGGAGTCACTGTTGATTCGTTCAGCCGCACCAGTTTTGAATGGAACAGATCGTTCTGTCCAGCTGTATGTTTCCCCTGACGGCTTAGAGAAAGTGGCAAGCACAGAAGATGATAGGACTTACAATCGAGAAGGTCAAGGTTGAAAAATACTTTACGATCATGTATTGATAATGATGTATGACTAGCTTTTTATATGCGCATAAAAAACACATGTGTTCTAGAATGAATGCGGAGTTTTCTTTCAGACTAATACGTCAAAAAAAAAGACAGAAAAAGAAAAGAAGTTGTATATATAGGTCTTACTTTTATGTACAATCAGTTGTAAGTTTGAAAATGACCGTATAAAGGGTCGAAATATCACAAAGATAAAAATAAAAATAACATAAAATTGAAGTTCAAAACAGCTGCATTAATAATCAAGTTTTTGATTAATAAGTCGTTCTCCGAAAAGCATATTATTAAGCAAGTTATGTTTGACGATTACACCCTTCATAAGTAAAAAAATAAATGAACGGATGAATCAAAGAAACGTACGAAAATGGCACGTTTACAAGAAAGAAGGTTTAAAGACTATGCGCCCCAGGTCCATGTTTTCGACAGCCGTAAACGGTCATAAATGGTGAAATACGTCGATTTACGGTGAAATACAGCACGTAAATGACCTTAAACGTGGCGGCAGTAATACGTGCCATATTTCACCGTATACAGCGCCGTAAATCCACATATTTCATCATTTACGGCCGTATACGGCCTGAGTTATCCGACCTACTCGAGTAGGACTGAAAAAACGGCGTAAATGATGCAAATAAGGGGCCCCTGCGACCGCCGTATTGGTGCAGTAAACGGTACGATGAAATACGCACGTATTACTGCCGCCACGTTTACGGTCAAATTACGGCCATTTACGTACTGTATTTCGCCGTATGCGGCGCCGTAAATCAACGTATTTCACCATTTATGGCCGTTTACGGTCATAACGGCTATCGAAAACACTGACCTGGGTACCTGATCGACATCTCGATCCTTCACACTAGCGACATTTATTAATTTCTTCCTTCTTCTGTTCTGCATGAACCAATCAAAAAATAGCAGTCCACATTTTCTTTTAGATATGCGGAGCCCTTATTTGTAGCTGGAAGCAGGCAACCCTTTTGTATGATCCTAGACTAAACGTTAATGGGCTGTGGTCTGACGTTTCAGTGCATCTGCTGTAGTGATATTGATGCACTTTAATAAGAAAAGGTGCGCCACAAATTCATTGGGTGAAATTCTCAAATTCAATCAGAAAACCTAAAAGTTTTTATCTGCAAAAGTCAAGTTTGTCTGATGGATAGCGGTTATCGAGATATTCGCTGAGGACGCCACATTACATCGAAAAAATACAGTAGTTAAGTAGCGGCTTCGGCGAATATCTCGATAACCGCTATCCATCAGACAAACTTGACTTTTGCAGATAAAAACTTTTAGGTTTTCTGATTGAATTTGAGAATTTCACCCAATGAATCTGTGGTGCACCTTTTCTTATTAAAGTGCATCAATGTCACTATAGCAGATGCACTGGAACATCAGACCACGGATCATAAGGAAAAAACCAAAGAAAAGCCCAATAGTATTTATTACTTTTTTGGCAAAAGCTACAAAAAACTTTGAAAAAAGTCGATTTACAAAGAATTTTAGTTTTGCGAATGCGAGTACAAATGTATGCTTTAGAGTATTAAAGTGTAATTTTTAGAGCCTACTATTCGAAATCTGGTGCTGAAAACTCGGGAATACAACTGTTTCATCAGCAAAAACAATAATTTTATCATTGTCTGCAAATATTATTTGTTCTCGTTTATTTGGATTTACAACGATGCCATAGTTTTTTGTTTGATCACGTACATATTTCATTAATCTGTAACCAACAGCCACACATTGAAATTTTAATGTTGATTGTAAAACTTCATAATAACTCACTGGTGTATATAGTGGAACAAAGATGGATGCTTGACATAAAAGAATTTCAGGACCCTCAGGTGTTAACAAAACATCGTACACCTTTTTTATGTTTTTATTTTCAGATAATTGTGCAATATATTTTGATATTAAATTTGGAGCAATTATATAGTCGTCTGCGCATGTCATATCAGCCAGTTCACTATTACGCGCGTTATACATTTCTGTTACAATACTAAATTTTTTTTGCCAGTTTGATTTCTCAATTATATCTCGTATATATAATAAACAAATGAGACATTCAGCATCTGCTTCTTCGCTGAAAATTTTTTCTCCGTCTTCACTGGGTACTAGAATAACATAATCAAAGATTGATAAATTTAGTTTTTCTAAATCATGTCGGCGTGTCATATGACCTGAATGAAAATATAACTTTTGATGTTTTAATTCATTAACTAATTGGTTTGATACGAATGTCTTTGCATCAACAGAATCTGTTAATATATGAAGTTCACTACCTTGCAAAACATAACTATCCAATTCTTTAGCTATTAATGGAGTTTTATTATTCCAGCCACATATAATGTTTCGTTCTACTTTTGCTGCTGTAGTTTTTGATAATTGAATTGTATTAAGATTTATTAAATGCAATGATACTGGAGAAGAATATTTAGCTATGTATGCTAAATAATTAGATGCTAATATAATTTTATCATCATCTTCAGCTATAAGTATTATTTGATCATCTACATTGATTACTGTATCCAACGGTGGAAGCAATAAAACTGTTCCATTGGATAGCATCAGTCCAATTACCGAACATTTCTCGTATGCAAATACAGCATCATGAAATGTTCTACCAATAAGTGCTTTCTCATGTTTAAAATAAATTTCATCGTCTCGAAATGATAATAGACTGGATAATATAGTACCCAAACCACTTTGTCGACCTGATTGAACGATAATGCGTGCAATGATTTCATCGGCATGGAAAAACATAACTTCATCTCCACCTAAAAGATAATGTATTTTTTACTACGAAGCAAACATCGCTGCGCACAAAACTAGATGCATCTGCTTTGAGTATGAACCCAAAAGTGAGTTAGCCCAACGGTTTACCAACTCTCACTTATCAATCAAAAATAAAACACTTCTTATTTAGAAGCGTCATGGGTCCACCTTTTGAAATTAGAAAATTTCTAGGGAATTTTTAATTTGTTTTGAACTAGGCATGCAACAGTTACAGTTCACTGCACGACTTGTCCAGCTAACGGTCTCCTTTTTTCGCTTCTTGTTCAAAGAAGTATGGCAATAAAGTTAGAAAATAATCTAAAATTACAACTAGATAATTGAGTAGATTAAACGTTTTTCTATAAAATGAAAAGTGTCTCGGCTCTGAACCTTGATTCGTTATGAAAGTTCGTTATGAGCTGGCAAAAAATTGAATAAGTACACCAATTTGTAGAAAATTGTTTACTCTACAAGATGTGATAGCTTGTCAAGTTCGAAACTATTCTACTTAATCTGTATTAATCAAAGAAAACCCAGAAAAACCGTGACGCCTTGACAAGCTATTAAAGCTTTGATCCCGTAAAAAGAATAAATCCTGTATACAACAGAACTGATCTCGATTGACGTGTGCAGTGGCCATGTAAGATCCCCTTCCCTAAAGCCCTTCGCGGAGTCCTACTTACAATTTTAGCACTTATGCTTTATCCCTAGTGGTATTCCCGTTCCATTCTTGCTGAGATCTGACCGCGAACGCCATGTTTGCCTGTGTAACGAAAAAATGCTGATCTGGGCAAAATAAAATCGCGATCTTATAATTGTAATCGCGCCAATTTCTTGTCAAAGATGAGGCTGTATTCTTGCCACGAAATGAAGCGGGAATGCTACTAGGGATTACAATTAAATGCAGGCTCTGATATTTCAATCTGTGCTTAGTTTCCAATAAAGCGAATTAAACTTTCTTCGATCGTCCTCGTCTGTTACGTTTCCCTATTAGTTGCGGTATCGCTCGAATACCATACAATATTATTAAACCAACGGCATGAACACAAAAAGATGTGACCACTACACATTCCCATTCTTTATATCTCAACGCCATACAGGCTTCTTTGCACTAGCGCCTCACATCGATCAGGATCAATTCTGTCGAAAATATGTCTTTTCTAAACCCAGGATCATTTCTTCTGCTTATCTCACTGCTATTGAGAAGCAAGACAAACAAACAAAAAGGACATAGAAATGTGTGAAGAGCCGCAAACCTGCAATCAATGCCACATCCAAATTAATTCGTTCGGTTATTTCAGCAACAACATGAAAATTAATTTTAGTTCGTTGTGGATTATTTCTTATTGCTAATATTACTTTTATCACTCGAACGTCATGATTACTCGCTTGAGGTGCCAATATAATAATGGATCGTGCTTGATTCGGACTCAATTTATTTATGTGATTCATCTAAAATTTAATTCAATAGAAAAGTTTAACTAATGAATAAACGCGAACAGATTATGATTTATCTGTCATTTTCTGAGTTTATGGTTTCAAAATCTCTTGTAAAAAATTGTCTCGTTTTACCAAAAATTGATCAATGTGTTGTAGTCGGAGTTTTGACTCACCAAAATAGTCATTTTAGTTAACGTGCGGGTACACATCAGCGACCGAATCGGGTCTTAGGTGGATGCTTCTCACGCGGTCCGAGCCAAAGATTTTTTACGCGAAGCCTATCCGACCCAACTCAAAAAGTTTTCTTAGATGACCTAACAATTTCTGGTTAAAGAGCAGAAGCCTGTAGCTTTTGTAATAGCGTAAAACATTTTTCAGATGTTTTCTTCAAGTGGAAAATAGATGAGTGAACCGTAATTGAAGAAAATTCCTTGATTTGTTTTCTAGTGGCAAGACCCCAATAAAATCCGAATTTTGTTTCCTGCGACCCGACGAATCAATATCTTTTACATTGATCCGAACGACCTGATCTGTTCCGGTTTCTGGCACACATTGATTAATCGTTCAATATTAAACAGTCTGTCTCAGTAGCTTAGTGGGCCAGCTTGTGGCCTTCCAGTCAAAAAATATATCAAGAGTAGGAGTATGATGGAGCACTCTTTTTGGAAAAAAACGGAAGGAGTACTCTTTTTCTCAAAAGGAATGTTCCAACTCAAAAGAAATACTCCAAAAACTGGAATGGAGTACCGACAAAAAAATGAGTGCTCCTTTTTTCGAAGTGCTCTACAGTGCCTCGGTTGCACTTTATAAAAAGGAGTGCTCCAAAGCACTCCAAAAAAAAGTACTCATGGGTACTTTCTTTACTCCATTGTAGTTTTTGAAGTACTCTTTTCGAGTTAGAACACTCTTTTTTTTCACTCTTTTTAAGAAAAAGAGTACTCCTTTAGTTTTTTCCCAAAAACAGCGCTCCACCATACTCCTCCTCCTGATATTTTTTTGACACTATCGTGGGTTCGATCCATTAGTGACGCATACTTTTTCATTCGTGTGCTATATTGGAATCGATTGTTAGAAATGCAAAGTGAAGTCAAAAACTGAACAACATAACTAACATTATTGTCGAGAAGGTTACAGTGGAAACTATTCAGTCAGACTTTTCGCTTATTAATAATGACAGAAGTATCTTGTTTGAACTTGAAATCGAAAATGTTTCACAAGCTATCCTAATTGTGACAAATCGTTTTTTCAATAAGTGAAGCCGTCAAAGCTATGAACGAATCAATCGGATCAAACGAATCATTCGGATTATTCGTAGAATAATGTAAAGCGCTCCTCTGTGATGTTTGTATAAGAGTGAAAATATATAAAATCCATCTTTTCTTTTCCATTTTATTTATTTTTTCCAATAGATTGCTTTTTGTTAACTCTTATATATAACACATCAAAGAACACATTAACTGTGCTAATTGATTGTAGGTAATAT